TGTTAAAATGAACTGCATAAATGACCCAGGGTTTAACGAAAGAGCCATGTACAGCCAGAATACATCTTCTTATAGCAAGATACTGGTATCTCTGCCCACAAGCATAAAAAATTACCTATACACGACTCAAGTATGAGAAAAAAAGCGTGTAAAGATAAGATTGGTTTTCGGCACATGAAGTAGGTAAAGTACTATAAGTATTTTGGGTGTCCGTACTTTTTAGTGACTTTATAGTTTAGTTGCTATTTATACTTCGTTTCTCATTATAGCAATGTTTTTTTTTTTTTTACATTAAATACTTTTTAACGAATTTATTTTTTAGTTGCTATTTCAACTTCATTTCTCTATTTAGCAATTAGGAAAAGTCCTATGTTCTGTTGACAAACAGACATAGTAAATCTAGTTATTATTATTATTATTATTATTATTGTTATTATTATTATTATTATTATTATTATTATTGGTATTGTGTTATTATCATTACTATTATTATTATTGTTATTATTATTATTATTTTTATCATCATAAATAATATTAATTACTCTACCATTATTACTATATATTATTATTTCTTTACTAGAATAACTTATTATGATAACTGCTGTCAATTTCAGGAACGTGACGTGTACAGCTTATTTGAATATTACACTGAGAAGGAGATGGCGGTTGGCAACTATGTTAAAAAGGGTCCAAATTGGCCAACAGGATTTGACGTGTACGACAATAATGGATATTATGGTCAAAACACAATCCAGTCAATTTGACGAAACGGGCCGAATGATATTGCAGTTACAGTTTATTTCCAGTCAGGAAATAATATGGAGTGCAAAATGTATCCCAGTGATTACTGGTTACAGCCAACCAATGCATCCAATTAACAGGTAAATAATTTTCGTCAAAAGGGAAATCAGTTAAAGCAGTATATTTGTTTATTAGGCTGTTAAAGACAGGTATTCACTCCTACTGCCATATTAGACAATAACAGATATCTGGCAACAACGATAGGCCCACTGGTAGCTTAAATAATGTGTTCTTGTATGTGGGCGTGTGGGGCGGGTGTGTGTATACGTGTGTGTAGCTAGGTGATTAGGTTGTGGATGCGTTAACGTGTGAGAACTTTTAAAATAATCTAGAACACCAAGACAAACATTACAGTACCTTTGAAAATGTTCATATTCATTCATTCAATCTAACCATTAGAACTCATATTTGATAATAATGACAACAGTATGGCAAATTTTGTTCTGTATTTACGCTGTGCCCTGCTATTCCAGTAGTCAAAAAAATCCTGCAGTTGCAATCAGTCCTCGGTTAATATACCTATTTTTTGCATAATTATTTTAATGATAAGCATGGTTTAAAAGAATATAGTTTAACCTTTTTGTTTTTCAGCGTCGACTGGAATGTTATGCTAAAAAATTTATGAAAGTTGGAGATGAAGAGAAAAGAGGCTTACATTGGCCTCCAGGTTCATATGACTCGTACGATGAATGAGGACAGAAGTCAGGAAAAATCACTCAAGTCAACCAAACACAGACTGGCACTACAGTTACTGTAGATTTTGGATCACCAGACAACCAAACCTTAGAATGCCCAATGTAAAATGGAAACTATTACTTGTTTGCCCCTTCAAAATTCATTTCCTCTTATTGATTGGGTTGAGTTTTAAGTATAACATAGTTTAATTACAGCATAGGCCTATGTATACGTTGAACAGAGCAAACTTTTAAAAATATGTTTTAGTGAATCTGTCGATACTGAACACTAAATAGACAGACAGTCATAATGAGTGTTCTTCAAAATGTTTCTCTTCAAATTCCTGACGTATTAAATACGACATACAATCTAATTCCAGTACCTCTAACTTAACCATCATTTTCGTTTAGAGATTGAGTAAGGGATGTTTAGTTTAACAGAATACTTAAAACAGAGTTTCCATAAAACTGCTACATTGCCGCTACAGTATTTTAACTGCAACATTACGAAAGTAGAATAGAGTGAGTAAGCTAGTATACACACATAAATATGCACACACACCTGCATACATACATACATACATACACACATACACACATACATACATACATACATACATACACACATACGCACATACACACGAGCACACGCACATACATACACATACATACATACATACACACATACACACATACATACATACATACATACATATACAGTATTTGAATTATAGTAAGTAAATAAATAACTACCTACAAGTTGAATAAACACAAAATATGTATAGTAATATCTGAATGGATAAATTAAGTGAAATATTAAGGTCTGAGTAACAATCGTGTAATTTAAAGCAATGAAAACACACCAACTGAATTATATATATGATGACTAAGATTGACTAGAGACTTGATGCTGTCAATCAAATTTGTTAATAAATATTTGTTCAGTGATCTATCTATTAGTTTTGGTTTTAAGATTATTACAGAGAATATAACTAATTTAACATTTGATGTCCTGGTAAATTAAAATGAATAACAGTTGTACTGTATTTATAATGTCGAATGTCAAACTTGTGGCCATTTATTTGCTGTAAAAATAGTTTCTTTTACAAAAAAAGAAAAAAACATTTCTGGTTAGGTGTAGGTAATAACATAATAGATGTTAGATGAGAAAAACTTTTCATTTTTTTAAATGTTGTCAATTGTTGTTAGGTCCTGGTATAGAAACATGGAACTATATACAGTATTTGTTGTTACATGAAGGAGTGTTGTAGTAGTGGTGATGTGAGGTACTTCGTTAGGTGTAAGTTGTTGTGTTTTCACGTTAGGTTACATGGTCTGTG